TTGATATTATTTCCTTCCTTCTCCTTACTTTGAGCTTTGCTTGTTCTTCTTTTTCTAGTTCCTTTCAGTGTAAAGTTAGTTTATTTGAGATTTTTCTTGTTTGAGGTAGGAATATAACACCATGATTTTCCCTCCTAAGACTGCTTTTGCTGTGTCCCATAGATTTGGGGTTGTTGTATTCTCATTTTCATTCATTTCAAGGTATCTTTTGATTACTACCTTTATCTCACTGTTAACCCATTCATTGTTTAGTAACAAGTTATTTAGCCTCCGTATCCTTGTGTGTTTTTCAGTTTTTTTCCTGTGATTGATTTCTTGTTTTATACGATTATGGTCAGTGAAGATGCTTGATATGAATTCAATCTTTTGAAATTTATTGAGACTTATTTTGTGTCCTAACATCTTGTCTATCTTAGAAAATGTTTCCATGTGCACTTGAAAAAAATGTATATTCTGCTGCTTTGGAGTAAAATGCTCTGAAGATATCAATTAAATCCATTTGATCTAGTGTGTCATTTTAGGCTGATCCCCTTGGAGTTTCAACTATTTCAATAGCTATAATTCAACAAAGGATTCTCTGTTCATGTATAAATATACCATGCACTGAAACAGTTAAAGGTGGGCAAGTGGGAGCAAACTGGGGAGGTAAGAACGGAGAAACACTGAGAAAAGCCACAGATGCACCCTGAAGCTGGGGGCTTAAAGAGAAGCTGAACCCAATGAGGGGAGGAATCCGGTTGTACCTGGCACCCTCTTCAGCCAGGAGGAGCAGAGATTTAGAGAGCATCTTGCAAAAGTGAGCAGTACGAGCTAAAGCTGACCCCAGTGACCTTGGCAGGGACACATCACAGAGGTGAGCCACAACTGTCTGGTGCTGGGCATTTTCAGACAGAGATACAAAGCCATGGAGCCTGACTGCTCATTAACCACCCAGATGCCGTCTCCTTTCACACTTGGTATTGTGTTGTAGAGCACATTATCTTCAGGAAACATAGACGTGGCAGACAGAAGAGTACAGAGGGGTCTTAAATCAGGCCCCATGGGAGATTAAAACTCAACTAAAGCAAATGACACTTCATTACTTCACTTTTTTATCTTCTACTTAAAAAATTATTTTTTTCCTTTTTCTTTATTTTTTATTATGTTTATTTTTTATTATCATTATTTCTATTATTACTTATTTTTTAACCCTTTATTTTTCTTTTGGATTACTGTTCTACATTCTATTTTTACTTTTTTATCATTATTTATCTCATTTTTTCCTTTTTGCCAACCTTTTCTTCCTCACTTCTACCTTTTTCATCTTGTTTCTCTTCTCCTATTCCTGTGTTAGTTTTTCTGTCTCTTTTAATTTTACTCCTTGTTAAAAGTTAATCTTCTTTATCTGCTTTATTGACACATTACTATTATAGTAGTCTCTGTTGGCTTACTCATATATCGAATTTCCTCTCCCCTGTTCCAAGTCCATGGACCCTTGTCTTTTCTCTTTATGCACTAGCCAATATTTTTTTCTTTTCTTGTTGTTGTTTGTTTGTTTTTTTGCTTTTGTTTTTATTTTGTACTTTTGTTTTTCCTCTCATCGCTTGCTCTCTTCTTCTACTAATAGCTTAGTTTCATTCACCAAACTCAGGCCTATATGTTCTCTACTATATTCTCCTTTTCCAAATATAGATGAATACATAGATAGGTTAAACAAAGGGGAAATTTTTTTCTGGTATATACATTTAA